TTCCTCAAGGAATGCTCTTAATTTATCAAAAGTCAAGAATTGCAAAATTAGGGTTCCCTTGAGAGAAGTCAACTAAACTTTGACGAAGCATAACTTTCACATGATTCATCCATTTTTCCCCAACCAAAGCTCATTTTGAAGAGAATCTAAGTCCCTACAACTTCTCTTCTATCCTCAAGTTCAAGAAATGAATCATTTGGAAGATACAAGCTCATACATTACTGGTCATTTTCAAAAGGTCAACAAAAGACACTTTTTTCCAAGACCATTTACATCAAGGTAAATTCTCCAAATGCAAAAATGGTAAACATAGAGATTGTATAGGACATCTTGGGGTTTTGAAAAAGTAAAATATCACCTCCAAAAGGTGAAAATTGAGCAAGTTATGGCTTGCACAATTTGGGAAATTTTGAGAAATTTCAAGAAATATGCATTGAGAAAATTTGAAATTTTAGGTCAATGGCCCAACTTTTTGAGCTACAAATCTCTCCATGACCTCATGAAGTACCTCTCAACCCATTTTGGTATGGCCATCACTTTTCTTGTATTTTATCTTGATTTTATTTGATTTAAAATTAAAAAAATTAAGAAAAATGCTAGAAAATATGGGCCATGACATTTAGGCCTGACTTGGTCCATCAAGAGGACTCAATTTTCGTGAAAAATACATTAGAGAGGACCAGGTTGATGCAAAAATAAAATGGAAAGGAAATAATGCAAAAATAGCATTTTCTTCAAATGGTGATTTTCTATTCAAAACATAGTTAATTGCCTTGATTTTTGCCATTTTGGTTCAATCTCATATCCCTCTATAAATACCAGACCCAAGTGCGAGCAAATCACAGGGACACAAAGCCTGAGAAAATCTCCACAAAATTTCCAAAAAATATCCAAATCGTGAAAATTTAAAACAAGGTTCCTAGCCTCCCTCAGTCCATTCCAGATCCTCCATCAGCATCCCAAGACTCCAAGGAGCTTATTCCAATCCATATCCACACCTAAAACTCTTGAAACAGCCCAACCGAACCACCTTCATTAGGTAAAAAATTTACATTTTAATCTCTTAATTTACGCGTTTTAAACAGATCTAATGCATATAATCGTGTTTGTTTGATCATTTTGAAACTTTCGAACATTTTACAAGGAAAGCTAAGGCCAAAGATTGCATGTTTCCATTTTTAGGGTTCTAGAATGACTAAGCTTCGAACAGGATGTTACAGGTCTTTTCAAGCCAAACGGCCACCACCATTAAATTCGTAGCATGCGAAATAGGGGGGGTAGCCGGAGTCTAGGACTTTGATTCCACATATTTTTGTTAATTGCATTTTTGCAGGGCCAGAGAAGATGACCGGAGGGAAGCTCCGACATCCATGAGTTCTTTGGACTCCAGTCAAAGCTAGTGTGGCTCAATAGCACTTTGTGATTAGTTGATTCAAATTACCTGGGGTCCACTGAAGCGCACGTTTGACAACTCATCATTTTCCACTTATTTCACATATATATTATTTTGATTGTTTGTATAAATGAATAAGCAGGTTGGTTGAGTGGTGAGAAGCACACGTATTTGCCTAGAGGGCCTGAGTTTGACCCCAGGCTCTGCGTTTTGTTTTTCAACATTTTCCTTTTTGCAGGTTTTTTGGAGCGTTGAACCTTTAGGTCAACGGGCTTAGGAATTCCAATTCACACCATCCTTTTTTCTGATCGCCATGCCTGGATTCATCACTCTGGGCCTAACAAAATTCAGATCACGCCCCCCCCCCCCCCCCCAATTTTTTCCAGTATCCTGGCCCATTTTAATTTTGTTTTGTTTTTATTAACTTATTTCTTTTTATTTGTTTTGTTTTATTTAATCAGCAAAATAACTATAAAAAATAACAAAAAATTAGGTTTAGTTTTTTTCATTTAAAATTAATTAATTAATTAACTTAAATTTTTTAAAAATTAATAGACTTAAGATCTAACTAATTTCATTTATTTTCATAAATGAGAAAACATAAAAAAATGTTAGATCTATTTTAGAATTAATTTTAATTAATAATTTTATTATCTTTTTTTTAGTTAATTAGATTTAATGTAATTAAACATTTTCTCAAAATAAAAACAAAATAACAGAAAAAGATTTTCTTTTAACTTAATAATTTTTAGGGTTTAAACGTCATTTCCATTAAGCGCGCATTTATTTACTTTTGCACTTTTTTATATTATTCTAACTGCCTACTGGGATGTAATAGACTTAACTAGGACTTTAATTTTACTACTTTTTGCTTTTTCCCATTCTAGTTTAAAAGATCAAAAATTACCCTCTCAATGTTGCCTCCGTATGATCTTAAAACCATAGGATAGTTACTACGTTTTCTTGTCCAGTTGCCTTTGTGACTATACGATGTCCCTTCGAATGTCCCTCAAACATCCAACGACTAGGGCTACCTACTTACTAATATTAAGATAGCATTTTCTGAAGCAAAAGAGGAAAGATAAATTATTTCGAGTATAGTAGATAGTTCTTATATGCTTGCTCAAAACAAAATAAAGTTTTACACATACACAAAACTCTTTCCAAAAACATTTTCCAAAACACATTGTATACGTTTTCTACAAGTCCGAGAAACATTACAAAGTTTTTCGTACTAAGGCGCTTTTTTTCTAAATTCTTTTCAAACACACAAAGCACAAGGTATTTTTAAATGAGCTAAACATCTAAGATCTCGTATGTAACTACGGATGGAAAGGGTTCTAACACCTTCCCTTTCCATAATCTACCCCCTTACTCAGAAAACTCTCGAAAGGTATTTTTCTGTTCTTTTCACCCTTTCCTTTGTTGGATAAAAGAAAATTCGGTGGCAAATCTTACTTACCGCAACATTTGTGAATACAAATGCAAAACCAGTACAACAGTCGATTCTGCCACCGCATTACAAATTCATTCTTCTGTGTGCTTTGGTTCGAAGATATTAAGTACACATGTTGGTCATAAAAAGTAATTCAAGAGACTGAAGGCATATAATTTGTTTGGGATTCAAATTTTAGTAACTCAAGAGTGAACAATGTTAAAGATGGAAGATTCATTGTGTTAGGTTTCTTGGAATTCACAGTTTGTAGCATTAATCATGATTTAAGGCCATCATAAATTTATTTGATTATTCATCATCCCTCATCCAAGATTAAAGCTTCATTCAAAGTTTTATTCAATATATTTGGTTTTAGAACAAAGATTTATTCCTTATGCTTAGAGGTTCATCAAAAGGATTAATTTCAAATCAAGAGATCATATAAATTCATCATTCATACCATTTCAAGTTCACTACCTCATATTGATTTTTTTCAAACTTCATTCAAGATTCAAAGATTCTATTCATCATCAAGGGTTTTTTTCATTCATTTAACTATGGATCAAAAGCTATTGGAATGTTTCGTTAAGTCTCAAGAATCAAAGTACAATTTGAAGGAATAATTATTAAGTTTCAAAGAGAGATATAATTACAAGTTTCTTTACAAACCATAAACATAATGAATCATGTTAACCATTACTCCAAAAGTCACTAAGGAAATTACAAGACCAATTACAAGTCTTCAAGTCTCAAAGTTCAAATTACAAGCTTGAATTACAATGTTAAAAAAGTTTCTCAATGGATATAAGGTGTTCTAAACTACAAGGAAGATTTCTTCATCTTCAAGTTTCTCTTGTGTACTTCATGTTTCTTCCATAATCCTTGCCTTTGTCTCATTTTCCTACAGTTCCAATCAACAACACCATATGCTCTTTCCATCATCATTTTGTGGCTCAATACATGAAATAAAGAAAAATGGAACATGGTTAGAAAACAATGAACACATAAGCTTGAAACTTTCAAAGAGTATTTTTACAAATTTCATCATTAGGGATTATTTGAAGGAATCAGACATCGGGATCAAGTTCAATCATGAATTTAAGCCCAATGCTCAAGCCTTATAAAAATATTGTTTCACACAATAATCAGAGTTACAATGCTAATCATGGGCCCAAAACAACTATACTACAAATCAAAAAAAGAAGATGAAATCTTGGTTCACAATAGAGTTTAAAAGGGACATTTACTACATACAACTCAGCAAAAAATTTCATCATAGTTCACAACAACATAACAGAAATTACCACAGTAAAAAATTGCATCCAAGCTAATCAAAACAGATAGGAAAATTACTACAGTAAAGTCACAGCTTCACCAGGAATCGGGAATAACAATATCAATTGCAAAGCCCAATAAATAATTTATCAAAGGCCTGTTATCAAATCAAAGGATCCAAACAACAAAAAACCCTAATTTCATTGTAGTATAAAAGCATTCATTGCATAGTTATCAAGGCAAGAGACCATTGTTCATAGAAGCCACAACCAAGAACAACAAAGAAAAAACCCTAATTTTGTTCATCATTTTCCCTAAGACCACAAACCCTTTAAAATTCACAAAGCTAAGGGAGAGAGAGAGAGAGAGGGAGAGAGAGAGAGAGAAATCGTTATCGTCTCAAGGAATGAGGAAGATAAATACAAAACCATCACTAGAAAGAGACTCTACTGATACTATCAACACCACCAAACCTATTTAACTCTCATTTCTCTTCATATTTCCTGAGTTTTGGTGTTAGGGTTTCCAAAAGCCCATTGTTGATATTGTCCTTACCTTGAGATTTATGCGAAAACAAACCAAAGATTAAGACAGAGTAGAGAAAGACGAAGAGGTTGATTTTAAAAAATAGGAATCTCGAACAGTCATGTCGGCGCCAATGTGAGGCCTCATGGTGCCACCGTGGAGATTCATAGCTGTTGTCGCCGATCTTTATATAAGCCACTGCGTGTTCATACTCACCACCATGTTTGATCTGTATTTCTGGGTTTTATTTTTGATTTGGTTATTTCATGTTGAGTATAATAGAGAGAGAGAGATAGGCGATGGAATGAGTTAGAGAGACTAGAGTAATTAATATTTGTTTAATCTATTTTGATATTAATGGTGTTTTGAGGTATGTTATTGGATAAATCGGCGGTGATAATTGTCACCGCCTGTTTGGTAAAGTCTGTTACACATATGGGATTCCCACTGCAAGATATCATGCGCCCTCACTCAATGCATCCTTGGATAATTCATCACCATCATCCAGCGCTGCAGATGGACTCTCCTACGACGCACCATCAATCCGTGGCCAGTACATGTTCATTGCATCATCATATTTTAGCATCAACATTCCAGACTTGCACACCCATGATACACCCTTCTCAACCAGCCGCGCAAGATCAGTAAGTTCTATCCTTGGGCCTGGACTTCTCATAACTATCAGCACCCCCAGATTTTACTTCAATTTCTGGCCCATTTTACTTTCTTTCTATTTCTCTTGGTTATTTATATTTACTTTCATTTTTTTTAAAACACAAAAAATATGCAATTGGTTAGATAATTAATTAAATTGAGAAATTATACTTAATATTATCAATTAATTTTATTTATAAATTTATTTAATTTAATTGGTTATTTAAATTAAATAAATTCTGAAAGTAGAAATTCTAAAACTTGGGAAAAGTAAAAGATAGCTAAAAATGAAACCAGAAAGGCGGTGAGTGAAGCGATAACCAAAGTTTTGATGAACTATACCACTCTCTAGGAACCAAGGAGGGAGAAAGATCTATATATAAGCTTTCTAAGGGAATAGAAATAAAGACTAGAGATTTGGATCAAGTAAAGTGTGTTAAGGATGAAAAAGGAAAAGTCTTAGTGTAGTAAAAAGATATAAAAGATAGGTGGAAGGCGTATTTCCACAACTTACTTAATGATGGATATGGGTATGACTCTAGAAGACTAGACATACGAGAAGAGGATCGTAGCTATAGTTACTATTGTAGGATTCAGAAACAGGAGGTAAAGGAAGCGTTGAAAAGAATGAGTAACAGTAAGGCGGTGGGGCTAGACAACATACCTATTAAAGTGTGGAAAATTCTTGGGATAGAGGTATTGAGTGGCTCACCAAAATCTTTAATGAAATTATAAGGTAAAAATGCATTTCGGATGAAGGAAGGAGAAGCACTTTAGTTCCTATCTATAAGAACAAATGGGGTATACAAAATTATGCAAATTATAGGTGAGTCAAGCTTATGAGTCATACTATGAAATTATGGGAAACAATGATTGAATGGAGATTAAGAAAAGAGACTCAAGTTACGGAGAATAAATTTGGTTTTATGCTAGAAAGGTCGACCATGGAAGCAATTTATTTATTACAGCGGGTGATGGAGCAATATCAAATGGACCAAAAACACTTGCACTTAATTTTTATTAACTTGGAGAAGGCGTATGATCAAGTGTCTAGAGATATTATGCAGAAATATCTTGAGAAAAAAGGGGTTAAGTTTGCATATATTCGAGCTATCCAAGATATGTATGAAATGATATTTACTAGTGTTAGGACACGGGGTAGAGAGTAAGACGATTTTCCCATCACAATTGGTTTGCATCAGGGGTTAACGCTAAGCCCTTACCTTTTTACCTTGATTTTGGATGTGCTCATGGAACAAATCCAAGAGATAGCACCAAGATGCATGCTTTTTATAGATGATATAGTCCTCCTTAGAGAGTCGAAGGAGGATTTAAATGAGAGGTTAGAAACTTAGAGAATGGCTTTAGAAGCACATGGATTTCGCCTAAGAAGAAGTAAGTCGGAGTATATGGAATATAAGTTCAACAAACGAAGCAGTGTTTCTAACTTAGAGGTGAAAGTAGGAGACCATATTATCCCAACAATCCCACAGTTTAAATATCTTGGATCCATAATACAAAATGATGGAGAAATAGAAGGGAATGTAAATCATCATATTCAAGTTGGATGGATGAAATGGAGATAGGCATCAGGTTTTTTATATGATGCAAAGGTACCGTTCAAGTTAAAGGGAAAGTTTGATCGGACTGCAGTAAGACCTATAATTTTTGTACGAAACAAAATGTTAGGAGGTTAAGAACCAACACGAGAATAAAGTAGGTGTAGCGGAGATGAGGATGTTGCGGTGGATGTGTGATAAGACTCGACAGGATAAAATTAGAAATGAAATTATTAGAAAGAGTATTGGAGTAACTCCTATTGTAGAGAAGATGGTGGAAAATAGACTTAGGTGGTTTGGGAATGTAGAGAGAAGACATGTAGACTTTGTAGTAAGGAGAGTAGACCAGATGGAGAGAAGACAAACAATTCGAGGAAGAGAAAGACCCAAAAATACTATAAGAGAATTTATCAAGAAGGATCTCTAAATTAATTAATTGGATATAGGCATGGTCCTTGATAGAATATTATGGCGAAAGTTGATCCATGTAGCCGACCCCACCTAGTGGGATAAGGCGTAGTTGTTGTTGTAATTAGTTATTTAAATTAATTTTGAATTGGGTTGTATTTTTTGTTTATTTGGACTTTATTCGAACTTTTAATTTGATTCATCCTCATTCATAAACTTGTACCCTTATTCCCATATTGTTATAATAACTTAGGATTTATTTCCTTGTGTGTGTTTTAATTTTTTCTTAATTATGCATATATCATTCGATTAGAACACGTGGACTCTTCTTGGGTCCCTCATCAATGAACAAGTATACACTTACAAATGCACACTCGCGCACATTCATAGCTTGTACTTGGGCTTTCCTATGGTGACAACTATTTGATCAATTGTCCTAACTAGCCGTTTAGAATACTAGTAACACACTAGTCCCACTTTCTAGGAGCATGCATATAGCCATCTTGTATGGGCTTGTTTGATTGTTATCTTGTGTATTGATGTTGTACCCCAAAATTTGTCCTCCCATTTTTAAGAATAATTATTTCAATAGGCCTCCTCATAGTCCTAGGATTCTCAATTGCTCAAGATTACTCAAGGGTTGACCATACAAACTCTCCTCCTAAGGAATTGACCTACATCTAGGGTTTTGCTTCTCTCAAGGGAAATTGGACTCCTAATGCCTCAAGTGGATTTCATGGCTTCTCATATGTCTCAAAATATCCTCATGCCAAATTCCAAGCCTTACAGCACAAGTTTGCTCAGTCAATTAGCCATATGATTGAAAATCAACTATATTGGACAAAAAATCAACTTTGACCAAGTTACAACCAAACTTCAAGATTTTAGGTCAACATCAAGATTTTGAACTCATATTCATCATTTGATCAAGGTTCGATCATGATTCATTAAGAAAACTCAATATTCATCAAAAGTCAAAAGTTACTAAATTAGAGTTTTCTTAAGGAGAAGTGAATTGAATTTTGACCAAGCATAACTGTCATATCCTAATTTTTTTACCTAAGATCCCACCCTTCAATTGCATCATTGCATAATAAGTGTTAATGAGTGGTTTGACCTATTTTTTGCCAATTCTTGAGTTAGATTTCAAAAATTTATAACATCTTCAAATTTTGACATTTTTGAGCAGTTCTTTTTGCATATGATTCTCCTTCACATCATCTACAATTTCTCTTTACAAGTCAAGAGCTGATTATGCTTTGAAAAGCCACAAAAAATAGAAACGTTAGAAGTCGTTTATGAATTTAGTGGAATTTGATTTTTATTGTATTTTATTCATGATTTCTTTTCCATTTAAAAAAATCATAAAAAAATATACTTAGCATCATGTTATTTTTTTATTTACTATTTTTACCTCTTTACTAAAAAATTATCAAAATTATGTTCTTTTATTAATTTAAATTTATATATTGATATCATTTATTTCAAAAAAAATCTAAGCCAAGTATTTGTTGAATCTCCATAGCATTGAGGCGATCCTCCAACTGTTCGTACTTGTCATCTGCGGGAGGATATTGTTCTTCGGAGTAGTCAGCTTCATCAATCTCCAAATTGTGGTCTTCTTCAAGACTATCCTCTATGTTGGGTGGAGTTGAAAGGTCTAGGGTTTTAGGTCTTCTTTTCAGGATGCACGTTGCCTTCTTGGACTTCTTCTTCTTGTCTTTGAGAAGGAGAGCTTTCAGATCCTCTTGCCCTTTACCCATAGCCAGAAGCATTTGTTGGAATTGAGCATTTTGAGCTTGGAGATCTTTCACCGATTGTTCCATATCCATCTTACTGAAATAAACAGTAGGAAGATAAGGAGACCTGTATGGGAGAAACCTGTCATAATGCGATGCATGATATGTGGATGCAATGTTTTCAAGGATCTCTCGGGGTAAACACAAGAAAAATATTAGAGGTTGAACTTTGATCAACATCTTTGATTGGAGAACCTTGTATCGGTGGATGTCTTTCCACTAGAATCAAGCTCACCATGTCAAGTGGGTCATAGCCCCTGATTCAAGTTGTTGCACTTGATCTTTGATGGCATTTGTTTAGAGGAGAAAACCTCTTGCCCCTTTGGTAGACGTCTAGTTCAACGTGACCCTGCATCAAAAGACCCTCAAGATCTTTGAAATGGTTATTGAAAAAATGCTATGGTATGATGTCATGATGTTATGTACATGTATGCAAAAGCAAGTAAGTGTATATACAGGTAATCATATTCATACAAAGCAAACAAGTCCTTAGGTTTATGTTTGCATGGGGTTCGTAGGTAAGTACCCTCTTGAAGTTAGTTGGCTCATCCTGTCCTAAAATAGAAACCGGGTTCTAAGGAGCTCAATATCATTGGATTATTTTCTGTGTTCATTGTTTTGGTTTAGCCACTTAACTGGAGACCAAAATATTCCAAGAAAACAATCCTCAATGAGTGTAGTATCGAGTATCTACCAACTTCAGACTGCACCAAAGTCGGTCATCTCACTACCCCTAAAAAGGCCAAGATGGTCAAGTAAGGTTCTAGAGTTCGTTAGTGCTTCGTGACATCGCTCAGCAGCCCCGTATTCTCCTTGACTACTCAAGGGCTACCAGTACTCACAAATATGTCACACTAACATAGCTACTGCTTCAACCATGTCGGTATACCCCGCACAGTTCCCTCACAGTTTATTGTTATTTACCTAAAAAGGTTCCCCCAAATCCGGGTGTAGGATTTACAACAAACCCAAACAAGGAACCCAAAAAGTAAAGCAATCAAAGCAAGCATGTATAGGTGATCTAAAACCCTAAGGTAACCCCACTTTCACAATCATCCCCAGCAGAGTCGCCAGTTCTGTGATACGGTGGGAGAACTGACTTGGGATTTTGCGTTTGTATTCGCACTTGTTAGATTTAGCAAGAGTCGCCACCGACTTTTTATTTATCCTAAGGAAAGGTCAAAAAGCACAGGAAAGACCTTTGAGATGTTTTCGTGGGTTCGGGGGT